ATGGCCATTATAATTTGAGCAGGGTGAGGAAGGTACCTAAGACTTAAAATCCCTCTATGTGGCTATTAAGTGTATATTCCATGATGCTTCATGCTTAGTAGTTGTTCCAAACGCATCATTATATCTGGGTAACCACCGTCTCGCAAAAGAATTTAAATACAGCTTTAATTCTAAATGGAGTATCTGCTAGTTGATGAACTTGAATACATATCTATTCAAATCCACTGATTTCTTTACTGATGCATTACCATAGGCTTGATGTTGATGCAGTAAACTCCTGAAGAACAGTCTTTGGATAAACACCAATTTGGTTTTTTGCATATGCTGATGCAGTCGGATGTGACAAAGCACTCTGCCAGCAAATTGTTATGCCGCTATGAGTAATCCAACTCCTTCTCATTTGATCAAGATGTGTGGAGGTTAGGGTAACCCACCGTTCGCCTCGATTGGCCACTAAGATATTTCGGCTTCAATCGACCCTTGGCAGCTTTTGTGTACTCAGCATGCTGGACGGTAAATTACTTTCTTCCTTTTAGCTACTTTGAAATGATTCCAAATTTTCCTCCTAACCTGCATCAATAGATAAAATAAATGTAGGTGATTGAATGAATTGCGTATTTCAAGAGATCCATTTTGGTTTAAATGATTTCACCGGAAGAAATTCACAAAAAAATGGGTCAAAACGATACATTCACGTGATGTATTAAAATGTGACAATTACATCGCAACTAAAACGTACTTTTCAAGGATCATTTACAAATCTATCCCTTTTTAGTCTACCGGTGTGATACGCATACACTGCAATGAAGGGGTATGGGGAAACTTATCAGAGTGATTTTAAGCTTTGCTTTTTGAGCATATCACTCTTCGAAAAGTAAGCCACGCATTTCAACAAGACCTCCCTATCTTCCAGTTGCTCCCACATGCGAAATTTCTTTGTGGAGCCGCTGGCGTCACGTCCCAACTTCGAAGCGAGTACAAACTTTGGAGGACTAGTCTTGACGTTATTTTGTTGTTTCAAGTGTGCCATCACACAGCAACTGTCAACGGTTCTCTTCTAAGCGTGACAGCTCTACAAATCTTCTTTTCCATTGTTTTTTGAAGGGGACTGTGACATCTTCGAAAACCGCTGTGACACGTTCTATGGACAATGACAACCTGGCACAGCTGGTGTGAACATTTTCCCACTATCAAAATCAAATAAAATGTCGGTTGACTGTTACGCGATGTTTGCTAGCCTCATGATTCACGTTTCGAAGTTCTAGTTTGTTTTTCCCACACTATCAAGCGCAGCAAACTCTTTCAAGACACTGCTAAAGTTCCGTGAGGTGTGATTGGTCATGTTTGCGCTATCTTACCTTAGGAGGAGACAAGGGTTGTGTCGGGTGTTTTCGGTATTAAAAAAAGCTAGCAGTTAAAATGTTAATTGAGAAGGGTAGGATTCCTGTAGTTTATGTTTAATTATTCGAAGATTCTGCAGAATAATCATCGTCTAGAGCCGAGAATAACCATTAGACTGAAATCCAAAAAGAAATATTGGGAGGCTTCAATTCAACATCCTTGAAACGTACTTTGGAGGTTTGGAACAAAATCAGGAAGAAGTTTATCATTTAAAAGAAGTAAATTTGGAAATTTTTGCGAATTAAGTAGGTACTCACGAGTTACTTGTTCGTATTTGGTATTTTCTGCGGCAATGGACCGTAGAAGACCACATTTTCCGGGTTCAGCCCCGCAGCGCGACATTCCACGGACATTATTGTTCAGGTAGAGTGGTAAGATTAATCACCTATCAGAACATGCGTGCGTTGAATCAGTTTTGTCCATTATTACTTCAACAGATGCCTAGATAGTACTCACTTCCAATCTATTAGACCTTTTCATGCTACTATATCTAAGGTAATGCTCTTTGCGGGTAAGTTTATACGTAGCCTTAGGGGGTGTTTTGGAAAGCAAAATGTTTTTGCTTTAAATGGTGTTACTTCATGTAGCTGTTTCTGGTTCATTTTATACTGTGGGAATAAACATTGAATTACCCAGCCGCATTGAACTGACTGATGTATTTAGCTGCGCAACCGGCACGGAAACTTGATAAAGTCTCCCACCTAAACTGTTTGCGGCATTGTATACCTAACAGTTTACAACTTGAATATTATTAGCAACTTGAGTGCCGCCACCGTTCCTACTTATTTAAGGCATGTGAGCAATCACTTAAGGGATTTGATGAGGGTGGTGGTGGGGGGGGGGGGGAATGGGCCAATTCCTTTTTACAGTAGGAACCAACCGGCAGATGTTGCACCACCCAGCACGGCACTTAAGTTTTGCCGTTCTTTCAACAGCCCCATCAATTAAACCTCACAATTAACTCGACGATAAGATCAACGTACGCGCGTGTGCGCCCGCCCGCAAGAGCGAAAGCTGTCATCGAGTCGTTCCACCTTTAAAGTGGGCCACAGGGGTGTCGGCAAGGCGTGCTCACTACGTTCACTCACCTCTCGCCTCCCCTATCTTCATCCGAGGCCTACGGGTGTCGCTAAGCCCAATCAACATGCCTCATTTGTACTGGGTCCGCCTGTGCTTGTACATCTGTGCGCAAGTGCAAGGAGGGACGGAGGGAGAGGGCTGTGAGATTAATTGCTAACCTTCTGCGCCTTGAAAAGCTTGATTACCACCATTCCGCCATCTATCAGACCCCGATCTACGACGGTTCCCAAAGTTTACAAAAGAGTCGGGACTGATAAGTTGCTTTTATTTTAAAAGTAAAATTCGTAATTTTTTTGAGCTTATAGGAAAAGGCGGTACTCGTTTTAGATTTCCGTTCCGGCGATACTTGTTTGAAAGCTATAATTGATTAACAAGCATTGTTTTACCTAACAAAAAGCTTTATCATGTTAAAGAATAATTAATGATGAAAGAAGTTTCACAGTGAATAGCCTCTTGGTTCCCGGAGGATAGGATTGCCTAAAAAGTGGAAATGATAGCATAAGAAACAGCTTTTGACAACATCGCTTAAACTTGGGTAATTTTTTGCCTACCGAAATGTTGTTTACTGCATATATGAAACTGTAAATATTTTATGCATAGCAGGATATGTACTCGTCACCTTAATCAATTCCTAGTATTTTTCCAACTCTCAGGCGAGTCAAGTAAAACCATTTAAGCCAAAACTTTTGATTGTTGACCGATAATGTCTAGTGGACTGTCGTTACCTGTCCGTCTTTTCAAAGTCCTACACTTCCGTTGTGTGCACGTCTGAGGGAGGTCTTGAGATGTGTCACTTGCTTCCTGTTTGCTGTCTACGTGAGTTTATGTGGCTCTTCTGGTGCCTTGAGGACACGAGGTCTTATGCTGATCCAGTCCTTCCTCTCCACTTCACCTCTCTCCACGCTCGTGCCACCCACAACCCATCCATCCATTAAAACATCACTTCCGCTTCCATACTTAAACGCAAACTTCTAGCAGCTTCTAAAAGAGGCGTCACCTTAAAAACCCCCCACGAATTTCTTTAGGGAGCCAATTCGATTAAGAATTTGCATTTAAGTTGTTTGCTTATTCACTTAAGATAGATGTCTTGTGAGTAGTTTATCGCTCAGTGGTTTTATTCCGCGGACTGGCAGAATTCATTCTTTTCTATTCTCCTAAGTTAGCAAATTCATTGTAGTTTATTTCTAGTTTGTCAGGTATTTGCAAAAGCAACTTTACGTTTCTGCTCCCCTCGGGTCGCCTAATTCGCAAATCTGTTTAGAAATACCAGAATATAGTGATCACAGTTTTGCATTAAACACGTCAGTCGTAACGAATCTAGAGAAAGGAAAGCTTAACAAGTGGAATTTTTTAATTATATGTTGAGGCAAAAGTTCCACCCCTGTTGTTGACCATGCCTATCAATTACCGCCTACTCGAAGGATTACAACAGGTCCGCAACAGTACCAATACCTCGAGTTCCTACCTTCAGTCAGGTGACTTAATATATCCATTCAAAGCAATCTATTTAAAAGGGATCACTCACGTCACTTTATCAGCACACCATACAGACGAAAATAGAGCCATCGTTACGGTTCAGGTAACGTCACCTTCAGAAGCATCAAAGTGTAAGTGGGCTGCCAATAAACTGTTTACCAATTGACGATTTCCTAGTGTTGTTGCTTAAGGTAAAAGAGGGAGCCCAAGTGGAATTGTATAGTAAAAAAGTTGGTGTTCTCTCTTTGGAGAAACTTTTAATTATGCAAGTTAGTTGCATTTCACCTCAAAATAAGCCTCACACAATTCGTCAAATCAGGCGCAACACCTTTACGACAATGTAAAGCGTCCCTACGCATTTGCTTTAATCGGCTGTGATTGTCACCGTGACTATCAAAATTCCCATGATATTCACGAATTTGTCGTATTTTGATTGACTAGGTAATTTAGAAATGGAAGATACTAACATTCGTTTCCTCCTCGTTTTATTCGAACCAGTAAATGGATGCCTTTTGGATGATATTTGCGTCAGTGCTTTCCTCGACAATGGATTATACCGGAATATTCATCACCTTCGCTGTCATTCGTATGTCCACACGCTGTATTTAAACCCAACTTCCAGGATGCAATGCCTGGAAGATGCGGGAACATTTACCGTTTGGACGGCCTGAAAAGTCCGTTTTAAAGCTGCAATAAAGTAAGCCAAGCGTTCAATTTCTGAACTGCGCTACCCGAGTTGGGCATGATACTGTAAGTCTGTAGTTAGCAGAAGCATGCCTTGATTTCGATTAAGAACCCAAACAAAATTTAGACTTCAGCAACGTGCTTTTGATGTGTTTGTTTTAGTACCCTGCAACAAAAAAGGCTCTTGAGAATTGAGGACTAACTGGTGCAGATTAAAGGGTAGATAATGTGGAAATTTAGTTTCAAAGTTGTGCACCGGTATGAAGTCGTTGTAATTGAAACGCGGATTTAGTTTACATCGAAATGTGGCTGGTTTGGTCTTGTTGAGAAACCGCCCAGTATGTAGGCGATATTGTGGCTTCCGCTGCAAAAAACATTGACTTCAGCAACACCAGTGGGGCGCAATTACGCTATTGTGAAGGAGTTGGGTTAATTGTTATTTGCGGTGTGCTCACCACCACACACTGGCAGCCCAAAGACCGTGTGTGTGTGTGTGCGCAAGCACGCAGTTTTCCCACAGGGCGTGAGGGAGAGAACGAGAGAACAAGCCGACAAGCACAATAGGGAGCGCTTCCGTTCCCTCGGATGCTTCACTCTCTCATTCCAGTGGGATAAAATTGGAGCTTCCGTTCCCTGCTTTACCACTACTCATCTCCCTTTGTGGCAGTACTTTTCATCTCCACCATGCCATAGATGCACGTGTGCGAACGGATACATTTGTAGATCACCGACCAACATTCTCGAGACGTTTCTGACTTTTAGCTTTCCACTCCCAGTAATTACGTTATACAAAATTTGCGTCAGATGTAGGCGAAATCCTTTCAAGAGTCATTTCGCTCACCCACATTGAGTAAATGAGGTGGAAATCAGTTAATGTTAACTTGTTTTTTGCTCTTTTTATTCCCCCTAAATGCGTAAACTTCATGCGAGGAGTAACATTAAAACTCATTACTATTTCTACTTCAGCTGCAACCTATAATCCACCACTTGTCACTTCCTAGATCCATTGTGGCTAGCATACCCATGACTCCTTTTCAAGCCTCACATACCTCCAAATAGTTTAATTCATAATTTCTTTGATGTTCGTAGGTGTTTGTACTATAGTCCAATCACGAAGATACCCTTATTAGAAAATCCGGCAATTTTTCCATGGCGGATTAACTGTATTGCAGCATTTTTTGGCAAAAAACAATATCAAAGCTAAGCACAAAGCCAAATGCCATCTGAAATAAAGGGGGTTGATTCTGGATAATGATAGCCAGGGAAAGGGAATATTTGAGACCATCATTCTGCAACTCAGTACCGAACTACGACTGGCGCCGTATGTCTGTGACCCTAGCATGCCACCCACCTTTCTAACCTCTTAGTCCTTCCGTGTTATTAAGGTTGTCTTTAAACACAACATCTTGTTACGTCTCCAGAGGCAATTTGTAACAATGCTTTTGGCGTGCACTCCACCCTTAATAAGCAAAGGAAAGGGAGTCAAAAAGCAGCCGTCGGAATACAGTCTTATTTCCACTTTCGTTGTTGTCAAATGATTACATAAGTTATCAGGTAAATTTATTGTCGTAGGCTGTGTAAAAAATAAACATCCAGACATCCGTTTTGAGAGTGACAGTCCCGACTTTTACCTACTTGAGACCTCATTAATTGTAGGGAAAGTTGTTTATAACTCTCCGTCACAAGTGTGACTATCCCAATCGGTTGACGACTATTAATGCGGTTTTGCTTTCATTAATACTGGATATGTGTCGACGAAATTGTTCTCTCTTTGGTAAGCTCTGCGCTAAGTTTATAAACCAATTCGCGAATTCTGTCTTCATGCGTAAGAAGTCAATTTTCACGATGATTTGATATCCCAAGCCTGTTGTGACTCTCACACTCTTGTGGGATAAAATGGGTGCTTCCGTTGTCTCCTTTGTGTGCGCGTTTTGCCTCTTTCGCTTAGGCGCTGGCCAACTGATTGTGACTGTGATCACGGTTAACAAGGTGACGGTGTCCGGATGTGGTCCGACTAGGGGGAAGTCGGGTGTAATGCACTCACCACCAAAGTACAATAGACTTACCCTCACATAAACAACAAATCACCTTAGTTGACCTCGACACCTATCCCTAAAATAGTGGACGGGTGTTTTTTAAACACCGCTGCAAAAGTACCAAAAGCATTTGAGGGACCCGGAGCGTGAGACCATAATGACTGTTTTTCAGTACGTGAATGCGTGCAGTCAACATTTGCCGTCTCACAAAGCAAATCACTTCGCTTGGATATACAGTTAAACTCCCACGCTAATCAGATATAGCCGGAATATCTCTATCACCTATTTCTCCCGCAAAAGTACAGCACATGCTCACCAATTTTGTCTCACAATAGACTTTGTAAAATGTCTTAGTTACATAAACGATATCGAAACGTTTGGATTTAATGCTTGTAATACTTATTTTAATGTCCAACCTTCCGTTCATCCATTTTCCTACATATATGTCATTTAAGTTTTCTTGAGACTACCGTGAAAATTGACGGAAAATTCGGTGAGCATTGCTTGGTAATAAAGGTTAGCTGACAAAGTGACAAGATCCCATCTCTACATAAAGTGCTCCTTCGTTTACTCATTTTGTAGTCAACTTAAACTCTACGTGTTTTAGGTATCAGCAGACCTTCACCTAGGCACCTTCCCAAATCGTAAACCCGTGATCCAAAAATGAGATTTTCCGCTTTTTGGTAGTCATTAAGGTTTGTTCTCATTTAAAATTGCCAATCCACCCTAGCCTGTATTTTATGAACATACCTCCATGAATAGAAGTGAGGGAGGCAGAAATTGGTGCAATTCGAAACCCAAACCGATTATTAGTTTACTGAATCGGTTGTACATCAGATGCATCATCAGCCGACCCAATAGCTTGAGACGTTACGTTGGGAACTCCTTACCCGTAATGGGGTTAATTTTTCGACCATTTTGTTTAATCTCCAGAAAATGAAACACAATAAGATTTTAAAGGCTTGAATATACCTTTTCTTTTCTAAAGAGAGTGGTTTTCCATATCACAACCTTTTTTCTGCTATCGCGCCGCTGTTACTGATGCGAAACTGTTTTTCTACAGCGATAGCTGAGTAGAACTAGTTAGACTATCTGCCGCTACCCTCTTTGCCCTTACCAATTAAAAAAACCTTCAAGATGGATGCGAGTACCAATAATAAACTGTCTACTGTGTATTATGTGCGCTCGACGGAGAAGAAATGACCTATCTTGCATTTGACTATGGAGTGAATGATGGCAAATTTGATGTGATGTTTAATTGCATATAATGTAAAGATGGGCCTGAGATACACCTAGTAAGGCTGCACTGAGTGTCCAAAACGCTGAGATAGAGGTGCTCCGAGGGCAAATGCAGGCATCCACATGCAAGCCACCGCAGAGGATATGCCCACTTAGACAGTGGTACAAAGTGCTCAAGGAGGAATAAACGTAGCTCCACCCTTTTCCCGGAAATTAGAATTGTCCCACATGTACTCCGCTTTCCTCACTCCTTTCTCCCCTCACAGCACACATAGTAACCACTTCGTCCTCAGGAAGCTGCAAGAAGGCGCTGAAGCAACGGAAGTTGTTCTTATTGCTGCCTCCGGGTAAAGAAGTCTAGGAGTGAAGGTTTCAGGAAAGGGATGAAAGTTCCCTATCGTATCACTCTCCCTCCCTTGTCATCGGAAGCGACCAGGCCTTTTTGTCCCACGGAAGCCGCGAGGAGACGGGATGGAACACGTGTTAAAAAGATCGCATTGAGGGGCCTCTTCGGAATTAACGTGGGCGTGGCCACTTAATTCCCTATTTTAAAGAAACCTATTTACTTACTTCCTTTGATGGCGATAGAAAGTCAGTTGCTTGCGCCGATAACAAATTCTGACTGACGATCTTATACTAGGTCTGAGGCTTAAATTTCCTGGACTTATATAGATGTACTTCGATAAAGTATGTGGTTTTAAGGGCTACCATACGGCTTAATCCTAAACCTATCAGACTGTTAACGGCATATTTTTTGTAATCAAAATCTTTACATTTGAATTGTGATGTCCGAATTGCAACATTTTATAGCTTCAGATAGCATCAGGGATAGTGGTTATTACCCTGAAGTCTGTGCAATTTTGTTATTAATTAAAACTGTCGAGAGGTAATTTATTTAAAATGACATTAATGTCGTTTTCATTGAGATGGTGAATCACACCAACAACGCCCCTTCGGAAACAGACACACATAAAAAGGAAATATTAATATTTTCTCAGGTGTACGGATAATTAAAACTGTTAAAAATGACTTTTTAATTGGTAGGATAAGCCCAAGCTACATGAAGTAATGACGATTGAAAGTGGCCGAGGCGGGTTCAGCTAAGTGGGATTTGTGACCGGAGCTTGCAGTTGAATTTGCCACGATGACCAGGTGTATTTCGGTGACTGACCCCTCAGCATGCCCTCTGTGGTGCCTCGGATTTGTGCGGCCAGCAGCTGTTAGCGCCAGAGGTGTGAAACCCCCGAAATGCATCACCCTTGAGTAGGCGCTAATCATCGTAATAACAACTCCATTTTACGGGCACAGTCAATCTTGACGCTGCTTTCTAGACGGCCGCTGTATTGGTGTCGAGGTTACAAATGAACCCTATGTCTTCGTGGTGTAGAGTTTTAAAAATCCACCATAAAATCACTTCTCCCCGCTTCTTTACACCAGGAATGTCACATACTTGAAGAGATGGAAGTTGAGGTCTTTTAAAGCATCGTCAAAGCCTCAATTTCTGCCAGACTACCATACCGTAACTTTCCACAAAGTATTAACGCAGTCTCTTTTTGGTGCACTATGCAAGACCTATACCCTCTCAAGATAATTATCCAGAAAAGTGACACCAACAGAACGATCGTGCGGTGTATTCGCCCGAATACTTGCTTTTCATTCGGCTCCGGTGCCCTTGTGTTGCCATAGTTAACACCAGTGTGGTATCAGTTGCCATTTAGAGGCAGATCCGACGAAATGATGATGAATATTGTTGCCTTCCCACTTACAGAGGCTTTTGAGAGACACACAAATTTGTGAAGACTCACCGTAGACAATTACCATGTTATTTGTCGTCAAAGTGAATCACTAAGGTAAGAAATTTTTTGGTTCTCCTTAAATTAAATAAACAGTTTTGTGCTTCCGAAATAGTCTGTCCATGGTGCCACCGGGAAGACTAACAATGCTTGTCAACATTGGCGTCACTGCAGTGATTAGGGACCATCAAATGTTAACTAAAATAGCCGCTTTCTTCACCTTGGGATGTAAAAAGGTGCTACTGAAAGGCCATCTGTTAGAAGAAGAAATTGTAGTTTAAGAGGGTTTAGCTGTTCCTTTCTCGGACCCCACCTCCACTCGAATGCGAGTCACATCCAATGCTGCGGCTTCAAATGTTGAAGTTGCATTGTTTCTCTTAGTAAATTGCAAAATTCCTTTAAGGACGATTACAATCCAATCGACTTTTAAGTGGATTACGCACCAGTTAACATAATTTACCCTTCGAACCCCAAAAAATGCTTTATTTTGGAATGGAGCTTCCATCAAGCCCCTGAATGATTTCCTTGACTAAACATTTGAGCGTGCACGTGAGGCATTCTCCGCAACTAACGACCACGTATGATGTTTACTAAAAACGCTTTATGTTTAATTCAAAGACATGGGTAAGCATAAGTCAAAATTTCCCGTATTCGATTATTTGCTGGTTGAGAATTCACAAAGGCTGTGTGGAGGCAAGAAAATCCAAGAGAGAGGTCAGAAAGCTTTGCACTATTAGTTAAAATATTGCTGCTCTTGATTGGCATTAATTGATTCCCGTGGTTTACTCCTGGTGGTGTGCTTTTGGCTAACAGCTGAAACGTGGAGACCTCCTCGTGCGACATCGCGGATCGCACGCCGGCTTTCTCAACTCACGCGCGCGTGCGGACGTGCGTGCGTGAGGTGGTACACGCGCGCACAGGCATGCCACTGAGAAGGCGGTTGCAAGATTGACAAGTGCTCTGCGATGTCGCCATAAAAAGCTGTAGTCCATTCTCAAGATCATCGAGCTTTGCATATTTTTCACTATCTCGTCATCTTCAGGTTTCTGAGAAGTAGCAGTGGTTTTACAAGTGCTGCCACATTACGGCTTTGTGAGAGAGCTCCCACCTGTCGTGTAGGAGCGCGTTTTGTCGGAGTCATTTTGCATATACTACGAGTATTTTCCCAAACCCCCAGGCCTTTTGATACTGTTTTCCTGTGAAAATGCATATTTATTTTCAATGGGGACTATTCATTGTAGCTTGGGGTTATCGAAAACTTTGAAGGCGGCCCGTGAGTTGTCTTGACAATTTTTAAAGATAATTGGCAGATAGGTCCTTAATAAGATTCCTTTTGGCATTGAAGGGTGTAGATTTTCCCGCTAATTCAAATATTTTTAAAAAAAATATCAGAGATAAATAGGAACGAAATCCACCATTTGAAGTAATTTCGCTCTGAAGACATTCGATTCAACCGTAAAAGTCTTTGCTAGGCTAGTATCCTCAGGAAGCTTTCCTTTAGTAATTAGGCGATGCAGGATTATTTTGCATGAGCTCTACGCATTCAATATATTACTGCTGACGTTTTTTAAAACGTTCGCCAACATCTGAAAGAAAAAATATTACTTTCCTTGCAAAGATTTGTCGATTCACCGACGTTGACAGTCACCTGCAATTTTCATGGTATTTAAGATTGTCGCTTTTATTTGAACGCCCACTTTATCATTTATTAGCATCAAGAGAAATTCCTGTGTTATTTCTATTACATCCAAGTATAAAAGCGATAGCAACGTCGCCTTTTGTACGGCCATTCCTTCTTGGATTTCATGCCAGTTGAGTATATAGGCCATTACAATCTCCGTACTCACTTGATAACGTGTGCTTACTGGGTGGAGTCCATGCATTTCAGTCACAGCTTCGTGAGAATGGTATCAAAAGTTAATTAGCTACGGATCCGGAGGTATTTCCACAAACCTGACTGTTAGACATGTTCCAGTTATGAGATCAAGTGATGGCAAAGACATTAGTAGCGAGGCTGAAATATTTTTAAGAAGTAAATGGGGTTCAGTAGAAAATTTAAGTATGGTTATTTATTAAAGCATTTAGATTACTGTAGCGCAGCTTCTTGACGATTTTGTTATTGGTAGCTACTGAATCAAAAAGACTTGGAAGATGCAGAATATTCATACAACGAAACGTCGCTTTCAAACCAATCTTGACTTCCACCTTAGTAATGGTATGATTATCATTTCCAGGTTTTTGTCCCTTGTTCATGGCCTCTACTGGGGACAATTCAAGCGTTAGAAATATTAAATTGCTTTTTCAAAGATATTGGGACTTTGATTACGTGTTTTTAGATAATTTACTTCACTTTGGATTCTGATATATACACAAATATCCAACAATAGGGGATGGAGTCCTGGGAGAGTGATAGCCACGATAGATCGAGGAGAAGCATGACTTCACAAGGAACTATTTGCGTTTTCAACTGAGAGTACAGGCTATGGTGCGTTATATTTGTCTAAGTAAGCATTCCTCGGTTAAGTAGTATCTGAATTGCTAATTCATGGCCATTACACTGAAGGAGCCCTTTAACGAGCTCCACATTGTGTTCCATGGACTAAATAAGTTTTGTATGCTTTGAATGTTTATTTAAATGTGTGATCACTCACTGTGGAACATGAGAGGGTGCAAAACTAATCATGAGGCCTCCTCATCTCCGCAGTTAGAGTGAAATGGAGGCGATAATACGGATAAAGTGCTTATTCACTGAAGTGAGACTGACCAGCACCAGGTGCTTTCTCGCTGCCGGCTGTCAATCTAAACTTGCTTTGTGTGGGAGAAAAAAGGGGAAAGGGTGTGGGGAAATGATAAGAATAAATACCTCGCCAACGAGCGTGTGTCTGATTAATAATACATGCGCAATTGGGTACACATGGCGATTGGGACGATGAATGGAGAGATAATGGCTGAATAAAGTTACCCCCTCATGCTATGGTACGGCGAGCAGGTACAGGCGCCAATTAGCGTAATTAAACGTAGACCGGTCGCAGCCTGGTACGTTGGAATCCTCTCCTCACAAATCTGGGATGTTTGGGCTGCTGACATTATATAGAATGAGAAGGCGATAGCAGAAACTGATTTGCCCAATTCAGTTGATGTCTATCCAAAGACGAATGTGATTCACGAGCAAAAATTTTGCTTCAGGAATGTTGAGTTTTCTGCCAGTTTTGCAGAGCTCTGCTCTTTCAATTCCAACTGACAGATCAATCTCTTAGAGACTTTCTTTTGTCACAACGTGTTACTCATACTTCAAAACAATAGCAGTGCAATTAGCATTGGTGCAAGTCAGGAATATTTTTCTGGGATGACATGAATCACTGACTTTTCTCGAACATAGAGATCCACTTCCTTGGGATTACTAAAAGTATATTTGTGCAACAAAGGACTTCCCGTCTCGACTTCTAAATCGAATTAACAAAAGTACTTCTAAAGTTTTTTATTTATTGTAACTCACGATTTAGAGCTGAGGGGCTCGGGTCTTCCTTGAAATGGTAACAAGTCGTACAGAATGGCTGGGAGGCCATTACGGAGAAATAAGCTGCGGAGACGGAAGAACCCGCTGATTAAATGCTCGGTTTGTAAATATCAGCCTGTTATGGAAGGTCCTCTGGAACTGAAGTTAAGCTCTTTCTGCTAATCCCCTATCTCGCAAATGGGTGAGTTCGTAGTCTCAAAAGTGACTCCCACAAGGCGGTAAGTATATGCACAATTTTACTAATCGAAATTGTTTGACACAAACAATGAGGCGTGTGTTATTTTCAGGTTGTTTTTCATTCACATTTTTGCGTTATTCAGTGGTTTTTTTGGAAGATGTACATTGTTGATTGCAGATGATCGTGGTAGACATGCCTCCTGATCAGAATTGAGTGATTACTCAACAGGATGGCTAATCCCAACTCTTAATGAACAGTAAAGCAAAGTTTTCTCGTTTTCACGGTCTACATAAAGTAATAAAGGTATACCTGTCGAAAAATTGCTCAAACGCTCAGAGTATACGGACGTGAGAAAGTTTCAAAAAGTGCTCACCCCCTAGTAAAACATTGTCAACCTACATGTCGGCAAAATCGGAGGTGACGACTCTTGGTCCTCTTCCGTACAAAGCAAATTGTGAGAAATTTATTTTGTTCTCACAATACGTAGTTGGCCAAAGCTAATTTAAGTGAAAGCTGATGAACACACTTCTTGAGGTTGAATCTCAAAGATGTCAATCATTCACTCACACCAGTTATCCACCCATCTGGAGGTCCTCGAGATAAACTGTAAATGGGCTTTAAAGGACATTGGCACCCTGGCTGCAAAAAAGAACTTGATCAAAGTCCACACAGGAATGGCTGCGAGGGCGAATTTGTACACCACGATGATTTTATAACAAAATTTTCGGGAATTGGTGTGTGGACACGCAAAGTGGCGGTTTGTAACCCATGGCTCCTAATTTTATCCATAAGCGCAGTAGGGCTTGTCACCCTCACTTGAATTTACGGGGAATTTCTTCACTCGTACATCTCCCATCCTAAGCGTGATACTTTACCTTATTGCAACTGCTTACTGCCAAAATTATGATCAGAAGTGAACTTCATGTCAGACTAAAAAAAAATTAGAATTTTTTTAGCCTATTTTAAGTAAAATTTCTGGTTTTATCCGCTATGACCTCTAGCAGACGTGATTTCTTTAGCTCAGCCTGAATAATGTGAGGGTGCCATTTATACTATTTCACTAGCAATGTCGTCCTTAGACCTTCATAGCTAAATAAGATGTCATATCCTTTCCTTTTAAATCATGTCATGTCAAAAAAGAGAAAGCACTCCTTTGGATAGTGTTCGCAACATTATGATGATGTTGTAAAGCAAAGTAGTTGATAAATAAACAGTGGGGACCCGTTGATGTCACTGAAACGCCAGTTAAACCTCTGAGCAGGATAGCGCCAACGAAGTCTTCATATGCAATGTCCTCCCAGATTAAAGAACAACGGCACTCCATCGTACTAATGTATTTTACTGAGAACTTTTATTAGCAATCGTTGGTTTTCTCCACATTATTAACAAAAATCGTATTAGGAACATGAGCACTGGGAGGACCCCAACAGCACTGGCAGCCGAAATTCACGTTATCTCCGTTTAGGAGCATTTCACCACACCAGGCTCGCAATGGAAGCGAAAGTCCCTCTATATTTGCTACATCTTCATGGTAGGGTGGACCCTCCATGACGGCTGTCTCTCTGGAAGTACTTTTATTGCGACCTTTCAGTACTTTTCCTGGCCTAAAACAAGCTCATGGCTCGTACCTCATCTGCACTTTTAATTAGCTTGCCAGGATAAATGCACCAATTTAATGTGTGGTGTATATATTTCGGATTTGCAATCGAAAATAAATTAAATGTTGCCACCATTCGTTAAACGGATTAGCTTTTAAACAGTCCAAGTCGTCTTAGAAAGATTTTTGCACTTCAAGGTGGAACTGACAGGATGGCATGCCTTTTCCTTTAATGTAGTAATATTAACACAATTGTGCCTGCATTAAGTTTGCATTCGTGTTTTTTATTTCCAATACAAGAATAAAAACTTAAAGTCAGGGGATAACTTTATTTAGCACAATTATTGCTTTTTCCAATAGAGTGTTCTAACTTTCTGATATTTCTTAATCTAGTTGATCAGGACTTTTCCACAGTTTATTATTTCGTTTTCAATAAACTTGCCTGCATTTAAAGTAAAAATCCTTCTTAAAAAAATTTAGGCATAGATGCTGCGTTTTGAGGGCTCACAACCAAACTGTTCCGAATCTGTGACGAATTAGATGTTTTCTTAAAAGCTTTTCACAATGTTATAATCCCAGCATAGTCAGTTCTTCAACACCTAAATAAATCTGTGAAGACAGGAGTGCTTCGGCTATCACGGGACCTGTGAGACCCGCCAGCCAAAATGCGAGATTTTTTGACCTTCTCTAACAAAAGGTGTGTTTAACGCCATCGCCATGACCCCTAATAGCGTGAAGTAGCTCTGGTGGGTGGGTTGATTTAGCAACAAAATTCCTTGATAGATTCTTAGTACCATCAAACAAAATATTGCATTTTTCAAAACCATGAAATGAGCCTTTGAATATTATGAACTCATATTTTTACCAGGCGGATATCAAATGTCTCCCAAGATGCTGCTTTTAGTGTATTAAACGAAAAACTCCCCAACAGTAAGTTTATAAGTCGCGAATGTTGTAGTGATGTTAATATGTTGACTAAGAACAGAGTTTTAAGTAGCTAAAAACATTTTCCCTTGAGATTTAGAAAATTTTGTACCATTTATTCAGATATTGGTCAGTGGCATTGATGTCCATGACTGCACAGTTTGTGCATTCAATGAGATGGTATTTTACAAATTCTTAACGGAAAGGCGAAAAGCGTGCGGATAGTGGACATGTCACGGGGCTGAGGAAAGTGGTCCACGAGACAGCCTATCAGGTATTTGAAAAGTGCGTGTACCATAACTTGCGAATAATTTGCTTGCAGTTTATCTAACCTCCTTCAAATGTGCTTAAGGAATGCAGGCTATTTTGGAATCACTGCTGAATTTTCAGCCTTGATCAGTTGTGTGTAAAATATTCAGCTGTTTATTCCACAATACTTTCACTGCATGATGAGTGCCAGGAGTTTGTCGTAAACGAAATCTTCGAACCACCGATTACAAAGGGCCTCTAAAACGACTGACCGAGCATTGTGAAGATATGTCTGGATCAGAGAGTATGTTTATGCCACTCCTGGTCATCCATCCATGTGTGGAAGTGGCGGGAGTGGGAGGACGAAGTTTAAAGCTAACGCCTCAGTGGGTTGTCCTGGTCTGAACCCCGTCTCTCACCCCTCATCGCCGTCGCACCTGCCGAAGGCCACCTGGTGCGGAGCAAAACAAACAAATGGTGGCCCAGGTTGCCACCACCTCCTCATTAAACGATTCATCCAAGCTGTTAATTGTTGTGGCGTGAATTGCAGTAGCCTAAGCGAAATGAATAGCCCTGGCTGGTGGACTAATCGGAAGTTTGGTATGGGTTGGGCAACAGTCGTTCAATGGTCACTTGAAAGTAAAATAAGTGAACAAACTATTTACCACCTAACTGTGACTTTTAACACCAAATCACTGGTCTCTCTTATTTCTTAGCCGAATTCGAGTATTTAAACGCGCTAAATGTTAAATTTTTACTTAAAAACACCTTCATTTAAAATGATAAATTATAAGTGTTTCAAATTAAAGACCAAGCAGCATCTGTCAATTGAGATGGGAGAGGTGGTGGCGTCTCGAAAATAAGTAATCCAAGGGGCCGTTTACTGAAGCAAAGTGCTTTGGAGCAATGAAAACGAGTTGAAAGTTAAGTGCATAAGTAAACAAATTTCGCAACATTGACTATAACAACAAGATCTTGTGGTGGCATTACGATTGCGCGAAATCTGATAGGCGCTCAACTGAAAGTCATGCACAATCCGCTATTCGGAGCACAGGGAGGTTGTTGAATTTAGCCGGTACGAGATGTTGGCCTATAAAAAAGGAAGGGGTGGAAGACCGAAGTTTCAACTTCTTGTACGAACCAAATTATCGCATCTGAGTGGAATGAAACCAACAGAGACTTTGAATAAGATTACCTTGCTACCACTGAGGTAAATTCGATTGTAAGTAGCATTTTGGTTGGGTACGTCTTTTCATGGGATTAGTAGCAATAAATCTGTCAACAGTAGTTATCAGTATGAGATTTAATTGTGAGAGTCGTATAATGTCACATCGAATTTTTTTTAACCAACAAGGAAATAAGTGTGCTTTCTTGTGAAGATAGACGAACGTTTGCAATACCAAGCCTTTTTGTATCAGTCTCCATGAGCATATTTATCGCTTTCCTAAGAAGATGAGAAGCTTAGTTCCTCATAGTATTCGAAAAGGGAATGAAAATGTCAACCACGGTTTAGTAACTAACCAGTTTCTTTGTAAGGATTAAGTTAATGAGGTAGACAATTAGGTTATTCAGCTGGTCTTGGAATGCAGCCATGGCGAATACACTTTTATTAACACAAAATAATACCTTCTAAAAATTCATAGTCTTTTTTGAACTTTGCCACGAACACCCATTCTACGACTTTGTTTGAAGCTGAACTCGGCAATTTGGTTCTGTGGGGAGTGTTCATTTGTTGTACTGTTGCGACTCGATGTTTCAAAGTTGCTGCTCTTACTTTACACCCTGTGTACAGACTTGGCCTATGCTTAACAAAAATTATGGGAAACCAAATTTAAATGCAGGAATATATATTCGAGCTCAAGGTTGGTGTTAGTAATTTCCGTTAATTTTAGGTACTTGCCTGATTATGCAATCATAAGACATTCGTGTGATTATTTCGCATAGTGAATGTAGAATTTCACAGAAAGGCCTATTGAACAACTAATAGCCTGTTAGGCAGATGGGTGTAAAACGAGTTCATAGTTGACCTTACAACCTTCAGTTCAAAGTTAAATGCATTGCCACTTCAACCAAGACATGTCAGTGCAGTGTTGGACAAATCTTCACAATGGTCACTCAAAAATTTTCCGACATATTTTAGAAAACATATCCCCTTCCTCGTGCTTGATTAGGAACACAGATTATGAGGGTGACTCCATTAGCCACCTGCACCCCATTGTTATCCTTATATCCATGATATGGTCTGTCGTATTGATATGTAACAATAACCAGAATATCAGGTCGGGAATAGTTCCAAATTTCTTTAGGCGAAATTTTGAAATTGTATTGTTTTGAATTGCATGCATCAGCTTATTGGTTTCCTCAAAATGTCTTCACTCTTTCATTGGCTGGCGCGAAATCTTCCGGTTGCGTGCACATTGGTTCGCATCGTGCGTAGCACAGGTGTACGCACATGCGCTTCCAAGTGTGACTCGCGCCCTCGCACCGTCACACGCACTTGCGCAGGTCTGTTGGTTATCGCACCCTCCTCTCTCGCTCGTTCGCTCACTCACTTGCTCTTACTAGTCCCCTTCCTCCTCCGCCTCCACTTTCCCCCGCCGTTGTGTGTGTGTGTGTGTATGTGTGTGAAGGGGAGACAGGTGTATATACACACACTTGCGCACACAGACACGTAAGAGAGGCACGCGCCTTCTCTCTCATTTGCACAACCAGCAGGAGAGCGTGCGTGCGCGCCTTATATGCCATCTCTTCTCACTCCAATGTCCGCTGCTGCAATCACTGTGAATCAGCAGCATCAGTCCTCAACTAACATGCTACCTCAATGGCGCAGCCACTTCCAGGGCTCCACCACCCCTCCCGCCCAGCAATCAGGCACTACGACCGCGTCCTTGGCTAAACTGGAGACCTCTTCCCTCTCTTCATCAACCCACAGCAGTGGTACTGTTTCTCCCCACATTCATACAACCAACGGTCAGCCACATCCCACCGTCCCAAACGCAGACGCTCTGGGCATTTTCCGAGGTCTTCAGGACAGATCGATAGCTGTTAATCAGATGCATTACGCGACGGCGCTGGCTGCGACTCTTGCGGCTGTGGCGTCCAACGGGCTGCCGAAATCTCTACCACCATCCGCCCTCTCAAACGGCATTCATCTATCTGGCGACTTTATTGGCAGATCCTCTGGCGATCTTCAGACAAGAGGGACCTTCGGACCTCTCACTTCCGCTTCCGGCCTCCACCCACCGCCACCACCCCCTCCTCCACCTCCACCGCCGTCATACTTTCGGATGAACACGGAGTTGAATGCCTTCATGAAGAGGGTTCAGGAGGAGGAAGCAGAGATCAAGAAGCATGACTGTCCCAAGGCAGAGCTTGCAGAGCCGGAGTTGTGGAGAGCTTTCCATAAAATGACTACGGAAATGGTGATAACAAAGTCAGGGCGGTGAGTAAACCCCAATTTCACCTTAATGCTAATTTATTTACCGGCACTACAATATTTATCTCTTGTTTTTCCTTATTTTCTTTATTTTTTGTGATAATACAAGAGAGTTTTCATTGATCCCCAAACAGGCTAGAGTAGGTTAGTAAGTTTGCTCAGAAAGTCGTATAAGCAGGTAGGTAGCATATGATAGTTTAATTACGTCGATTGCTGGGCTGAAGACGAGGTTAGTCCCCAACTCCAACGCTTCCATCGACCTTCTTAAAGTAATTTCGGTTGACAGTGCGATAATCTTTATTAATTTATTTCTTATCCCGTGCAGTTGGTTATGGATAACGTGACTTAAATCAGATTACCTGTGGATTATTGGCACCTGACAGTTTGAAAGGGACCCACAATAATACCGAGCTGCTATGAGCAGACACTACGTGCCAGATCATCTGCGAGGCGTTTATAATCGAATTAAATAGGAGGAAAATACGGCCCTTTCAATTCTAATCACCTTTCATGGCTTACCATTTGTAGCAGTAAATGCAGATTTCACCTAAACTTGCGATTACTGACAGGCATATTTATTTAAAAACCCACATCTTAAAGTGTGAAAAATGGATAACACGTTTGTTTTCAAGACAAAAACGAGACAGCTTCTAGTTTTGACGGGTTTTGGAGTGAAGTGATAGTGTATGTATTAACAGATAATTATTTACTGTGATGGACTGCAAATGGAGCTGCAAATAAAACTACAGTGAATGCGGTAAAGGTTCCGTTTAGATAAAAACATGCATACTTATCGGGGGTTGTGATTAGTGTTGGGTATACGCCAAATCCATCTACCCGCTTACTTTAATTGGCGTTGAAATTAAGTGGTCTGTGAACGCCCATTAAAACCACTTCTTTGCTTGTTTATAAAGCGGTTTTACAACATATTACATAAACGAAACATAAATCAAATATTCACTTGAGGCACTGAAAAATTTCCTTCATATAATTTTATGTCTGAGTGCAAGCCATACTCATTGTTCCTTAACTGCTGAAGACCAGACAATTTGCCTGATGACTATTACTTCTGCCAACTCCGAGTAAGCGCCAACTTTGAATTTATGTGCAATGTTTTCACAAATGATGTCGTCGTGGCCTGTTAAAATTTGGGCCTCAGTGACAGGGTAATCTCTTGTTCTCGAAGTCGCGCACAGATTTGCGGACAGAGAAGGAGGCCCGTGAGAGGCCACTCTTGAGAAAGAATAACACAGGGCGTGCGCAGTTTTCGCATGTGACGAGAGAGAACAAGAGAACACTCCCTGTGTCTTCGGGAACTTTGAACTGGCCTATACACCACCGCTACCGTTAAAACCACAAAAGGCAAACACCAAGCTGCTCCGCCTCGAGGAGTGATAATTTCAACAATTGCGCGCGTACAAGCGCACACGTACGCACGCACGCCTGTGCAATTTGGTAGGGGTTGAAAGATCCACCGCATTTGATTTACTACTTGCATGGTGCGACCACTGTCAATTAGGCGGTCGCACATCCGACGGAATAGAGCTGTCGGCTAGTGATTTACTACGACTTCCAAGGGATGAAGTGGCCACTCGCTCCTGTGATAGGTGCCCATTACGCGCTATTGCGCGCGTGCGTGCGTTTACACCTACCAATTTTAAAAGTGCACTTCTCAAAACCTATGCGAAAAATTTACAGTTTCTGTGTCTTTTATGTGCCGTAATATCCATTCCGTGGCTTTCCAGTTCACTTACAACCGGCTCGGATGGACGCCGCATTGACTAATTTCAAATTCTCGACCAGTTTTTTTAGCTTAATCCGCATGAACAAAGACCCCTTAAATGTGGCCTGTACAACCGGATGACTCAATTCATTTCGACCATTGATTTAACTGAATGCTTCATCCTAAGAACGAACTGCCCATTAGGCTGTTGCGGCTGGAGAACTTAAAGCAATCCCTTTATCACTTTTTATAGTGGGACTGTAGCGTCTTCCGAGGTTTTTCAGGTTACAATCAGTGAACGCTGTGGTCACGTTCAAAATCTGCCATTTTGCTAACAACGTGTCAAAACGTCATAATTGTAGTAATGTGAGGGAAGGAGTCATTGTGCTTGGAAAAAAATAGTGTCTACAACTAATTCTTAAATCATCGTAAATAGAAAATTAATGCAATATTTGACTCTGCCAGTAGTTTTAAGTACAGCTTCCAGAGAAGTTAAGTGAAGTGAACAAATCCTGTGGGATTTTTTCAAAAGCAAAATTTTAGAGATGTTTTTTTTTACTATTTACTGCCTGATCAAGTCTCACATGCGATAGTAACATAATGAAACTTGCTTATTTGTCCGGCAAAGTTCAACATTAGGTGGGTCCGAATTTAGAATGCATGCCTTCCCACGAATTCTGTTTTTGAATGTAAAAACCTGAAAGATTAAGCACAGCCTTAAGAACTGCCTGCTTTACAGTAGGTAAAAACAGTAGAATATTTTAATTGCAGAGAGTATGCTAAATCAACCAAGGCTACGATAAGGTTTGAGCATATTATTTGATCTCTGTGCGATCTGAAGGCGTATAAGACAACTGTTGGACCAGAATGGCACTCAGTCTAGTGAAAGGGCTTAAATTACAATAGGTACATGCTAACAAAAACAAGGGAGTTTGCAAGAGTAATGGTGATAGCATGGGTAGATGATAAGGTTATCTCACTCCGGTCCAACCCCTTTAGACGCATGTTCCCAGCCTACAAGGTCAACGTGAGTGGGCTGGATCCGAAGGCAAAGTACGTGATGCTCATGGACATAGTGCCACGGGATGAGAACCGCTACAAGTTCCACAACAATGGCTGGGCCGTGGCGGGCAAGGCTGATCCCGAACCCACCAAACGACCTTACATCCATCCCGATTCACCTGCCACTGGTGAGCAGTGGATGCAGAAACCTATCTCCTTTCACAAACTCAAGCTCACCAACAACATCACTGAGCGACAACCTTTCGTAAGTGAAACCTCCTTAACCTCCTGCCTAGGAGTGATTCGGTGAGAACTCTAGCGAGACTAGGTATAGCTCGAATTATTGCTGGAGATACATTTTTTCATTGAATACTGGGTAGTCAAGTAATATGATCCATATGCACCTCCTGAACCAAAGGTAGGATATGTGGACCTCAGTTAATTTTTGCCTTAACATTACAACCATTTTAGTGAAGATTGAGGGAAAAACTGATGCTCAAAATGCAAAAAAATTAGTTGAAAAAGATTTGTGTAAATTCAGCATGACCAAAAGGGGGTAAAAGAAAGACAAATAGATCCCTCAAGGTACAGATCATTGGAACAGCGATTTTCCACCCACTTTTTCCTAATGTGATTTTATTACATTCATGTGTGTGATTGAAGTTTCGTCTCAGAGCTGCACTAAAAAATTCATTAATCTTGGTCAATGAAATGTAAATCTGCTGAATGGAGCTAAGGCATTTATTTATTCCAGCGGCTTTCGTGTTATTTCCCAACCTCAAGTATTTCGGTAGCACAAACTCCAATGTTGTCACTAAACGCATATGCGAATATATTACTCATTTTGTCAGAAATCAATCCATCCTTATGCACAACAGTAGTTTTTTTAGCTTAAATATGAGACCTGCAAACTAGGAAAATATAATCATATGGGATCGGATTATAAAAGGTGCGTTAAAAACGAGTTCCTAAAACGTCTTAATAGGTTAAGATCGGAGAAAAACAGTATATCTTAGGAGAGTTGGGTATGATGTGATCACGTCCAAATGTAAGCGCTCTCTGTGATTTGGAAGAAGGGGGAGGGAGTGAAGACTCTTGTTTTTGAAGGCTACATCATAAACCTAAGTGACCCACTGCTACTGAGCGAGGGCATAATAGACAAACAGCGATGCAAACCGTGAAAAGCAGTGTGTGGAGTGGACCTCGCCCCTGCCGTTGCAGCCTCGCGTCGGTGTCGATACGTCTGGCCCAGGTGGCCTGCGTTGAACTATTGACTGTCCCACATGTATGCGCTAGCTTGAGTGGTAACCCAGCTCGCGGCGCTCCCTTGATGTAGCGTCCATCTCATACGGAGAGCCCCCACACACACGATTCACGCCTGTCTATACTTGAATCGCGCACACCTAGGTGGACTCACGCCAAACGCCTTTGCCGGATGATTTGTGAGAAATTCTTTTACTACTGATTAATCGTCCTCAAATTCATTCACTGAATCTTTCGGCACTGACACCATCCGCAAGAATTTGGGAGCTTAGTCTGCAAATGAAGAAGCGCTTTTGCAACGTGCATAGTTGCTTTAGATTTATTATTTGCCTAGAATCGGACTGCTATACTGAAGATACTCACACGCATTCGGGGTACGCTTTTAAGCAAAGGCGTGAGAATTCACCCAAGTCTCTACTTGCATTTAAACTTGTAAAGTGTGTTTGCACCTACACCAGGCACCGACGAGTGTTGTGTGCTCTTCGTTGGGTCGTCAAGTCAATTTGCGTACACATAAATTACTAATTTCACTTGTCACTATGCGGTAGGTGTAAAGGTGTGAAGACAATTGTTTTGGCAATAAACGGACCACATAACCAGCTCTGACAATCGCTAGATGGTACTGACGGCTAACAATTGATTAGCTTGCGTGTGTCTGCTGTGTGTGTGCGTGCAATGGTGTGCGTTTAATGAGCTACTGATGTCGGGGTGCCTTCAAAACCCATCATATCTGCTACTTGTACAACAGGCAACTCACATTAAAAAAACGCACAATGGTCTGCCAACCATGAAATCGGACACGTCGTAAACTAGACCAAAGGTTACCGTCTGACGACTCCGGAATCTCCAACGCTACTTATGTGTTGGAGCATCACAATAGGTCAGGTACATTCATGACCATAGTTTAAAGCATATGAAACCTCAGAATAGCAAATCACTGAATTTCATTCAACGTTTCATTATTAATCAGTTTCTATTATGCTTTGGATACAATGTCAAACTATGGCTATTTGAATTTCAGCAAGCCGTGCTGAACTCTATGCACAAGTACATACCCCGTGTGCACATAGTCCGGGCAGATGATCTCATGAAGATCAATTTCTGTGAGTTCGTCACCTTCTCATTCGAGGAGTCCGAGTTCATCGCCGTCACGGCCTACCAAAATGAACAGGTCAGTGCAGCAGTGCCCTAGTAGTTGGGTCCCTCCGGCCTCGATTCGCTCCACTCATTTCGGCGCCCTACTGCACTCCCATCTTCGGCACACCCTCTATCGATTGTGGTGGCAGGCGTCTGTGTGTGGAGTCCATCTGTCATCTTGGGGATAGAGGGCCAGGGGAAAGGGGGCGCAAGGCGGGGAATTAACACCTTTGCATGCGTGTGAGGGGTTGGTTGAATAATGAGCATACCCACCTTGAGGGCGCACGAAACTGGCCTGGGAGTGCGACGTGTGTGTCAGAGAGTGTTGAATGCTGACAATTGCTAGTGTCCCTGGGTGGCCCTGTTATCGATTACCACTTAATTATGAGGGAGAGGGTCCGCATTTTTGGTGAATTGAGGTGCTCACCAAATGGCTCTCTTTAATTACTTGGGTGTGAAATTCAAGGCATACATACGACCGTATCAGCTTTCGGAGGTGCTGCAAATCTGGTCGCACAGGTTGTAGTGACTTGGTTTAAACTCAGCGCATCACGGAAACGCATGTAAAATCAGCAGATGATGGGTTAGTTGACGTCATCCAGGCCTGTATGGACTGTAGACAGCACAGGTGTGATAGGCGTAGGAGGAATGAAAGACAGGATCAAGTTATTTAAGCAGGCAAAAACAAAGACGATTTGCCTGTCAATTAGAGGCCGATGTGCACACATGTGTGCACTCAACATCACGATTTGAAGGCTTATTGACTAACTTTCGCGCCATTTAGGAGGCACCCTGCGCGGCTTGTGACACGACAACCAGTGTCTGCGATCGCACACTAGTGGTCGCGCCGAGGATTTGGTGCGCAGAGAGTACATTAAAGCACCGTTTTATGGCTCTACTGAGTGTGCGTAGGTGATAAATGAAATTTTTTATGCAATTATCACTTAGATGGTCTTATGACTGATGCAGCTTAACCAATTGTGACACCACAGCGATCTCTAGAGCTGCTATACGCATTTTTACAAATCACCAGTATTTGTTGAAAAAAAGAAAGTATTTCTGGTGATTAGTTTGTTGTAACGGTACTATAATTCGTTTCTCAACACATTGGACCGTTGAAATAACTGCTGACCAGGACAGCAGGTCCAAGACCGAAGGAACAACGATGGCCGAAGTTCTCTCCATTGACACGAAATTTGGAGTGGTTACATTGATTTAGTGGACCATCAGCACTAACAGGAACGCCTACGAACCCCCAGACCTCAATCCACTCTTGATGTCTAGTTGATCCAGACTTTTAAATTCGAAGACTTATGTCATACGGGGATAGATTCTACAAATTTTCTTAAATGAAGAATTGTCCAACTAAATGACTTCTCACAGTAACAAAAGTTCACGTATTTTCTGCGACTTTGAACAGGAGAGCTTTTGTTTTTAGATTACGCAACTAAAAATCGACCACAATCCATTTGCTAAAGGTTTTCGAGACAACGGAAGTGGAAGGCGTGAAAAGAAGTAAGTCAAGGCAACTACTATGTAAGAAACTGGATTTACCGTGGTAATTTCAACTGCATTTCGCTTTTTCAAATGACTTAAGCTAAAGTGCTTTGCTAAGTGTAGTAACCATTGTTTTCGAGTCGTGTAATACAACATGCAGTTTACTATGTATTAAGCAGCAAAATAGAGTGTTTTCTCTTTTTCTCCATAATTCAGACGACAACGACTGCAGCAGCTGCCGCCGTTGAATTCTACCGAAAGCTTGATCCCCGAGGATGCCGATGAGGACGTGAAAGCCAGTGAGGGCGAGAGACGGAGCAAAGACGCCCTATTTTCGGCCCTAAGACAACCGCCATTCCCCTGCTCCTTTGGCCGCCTCCCACAACTGCCATCCGTGCCTCTCTCCTCTTTTCACCCACCCGGGGGGGCGAGTGGAGACGATGGAGGACTGCAGTTGTCTCAGCTAGCTGTCCCTTGTCCCCTTGTGGGACGCCTTCCTGAGCTCCCCTCCCTCGCCGAACGCGTGTGGGCCGACGTCAGGGAGTCTGAGCGCCTCCTGGCTGCTGCAGCGGCTGTTGCCGCACTCGATCGGCGGCCGGGCAGTCTGGCCAACCTTCTCTGCCAGTCACTGGTAACGGGTCATCAGAAATCACCCAATTTTCCTTCGACTCGTAAGTGGTCTCGTCTTGTCTGGATGCTTTTTCTCCTAGTTTCTGCTAATAATTGATTTTGTAAATTTGAAACACCGCCTTTGGCTACCACGTTATGAACCTTAGGTGATACATATAATCAAACCTTGAGATGAACAATGTATGAGGCTAATTGACTCCAGTGATAGAGTAGTAACCTTTACTGAAACATGCCTTGAGTCATTTTTGCATAAGACGTAGGGAACTACCAGTAGTCGGATTTGACAATACCAATTTAATATGCCTTTCCATTAGCGGCCACAAGTAGGGGAATGTAGCGGGAAGCATCGCTGCGTCTACCCGCTTCTACCTTGTCATTTACTTTGATAAGTTATCTAAAGCGATTTATTCTGTGGTTTTGCTTCAATAAAACTAATTTCTGGATGAATCACAACTGGAAAAGCAGAGCTCCTGAATTAATAAATATTTAGTTTATGGAGGAATCATAGCCCTTTATTGCTGTATCTTGATGAGGTTATCTAGGTTAAAAATTCGATAATCATTGTTTGTTTTCTTTAATTTTTTTGCATAGCTAACCCGTAGAAGTGAGGGTTAAGTCTTTTACATTAATGAGAAGGAGTGGCAGGTTGTTGTCGAGTGCAAGTGAAGTTGTCGTATTTGCTGCTTTGACCTGCGTCACTTGAGTGGCATCATCATCCAGAAGTCTCTTCCACAACACTTATGCGACACTTATACTTAAATCACACAAACTTATTATTACTGTAATTTACACTTATATTTATGAAAAAACGTCCAACACTGTTGAGTACAATATCTAGGAAGTGAATGAAACGACACTAGATTGAAGAAGCACAATTAGCCTTTCAGAAGTAGACGGACAGGGGCGTGGCGGTCAAGCTGGCTCAACCGTTCCGGTTGATTGGAGCTCCCTTTACCATTCTTTGAAGTGATGACCTGCCATTTAAACTCAGCCTTTCGCCCTGACCATAATAGCCTGTGCGGAATGTTACTTTGAGGTGGGAGTGAAGGGACCACGGGTGACGGGGAAAAGTGTAATGAGCGTGCACGTGCGAAATACCTTCACGCATGAGGGAAAACGATGTGCCTAACCCACCAACTAATGTGCACATAAAACAAACAATTATGGAACAAAAGGGTGGCGAACGGAAGGGTGCATTTCTCACTCCCTCCCTTCCTCAACCTCCCTTACCGACACACGTGGAGCTTTTGTGAGACGCACATAGTATCAAGTAGGCATGGGCAGTTCCCGTAACAAATTAGTGGATGCTGCTTATGCTATTTTCATGTGCCAGCACGTTTTTAAAGGTGATGTTTCCACTCCAATAATCTGGTTTTTCGTGGGAATCGTTGATGCTTCATGTCAATCGTTCGTGATAAACCCCCAACTGTGTTTAACTGCGGTGTTCTTTGCTTTGAGCAGCTGGAAAGCAATCACAACAGGGAAACTGTCGGATTGTGAGAAAATAAGAGGTGGTAATTCGGTGTGAACTTCATAATGGTTAACTCTCATCCTCCAGTTATGAAATTTTTGAGACCGCTACTGTGAAACGATAGTAAGACTACTACTCATTCACAATTTTTTTCTATACATTCGACTCAATCATATTCAAAAATTCTGACCCAATCTATATTCATTTTTTATGGTGACATTTCGATCATGAAAGATGAAAAACACTTAAACTTGCAGAGGTAAGATTAGTTGAGGTGTGCGTAAGGCTCAGTGTGCGTACCTGTGCTTCAAATCAGAAAGACGTGAAATTTCTCACATTTTAGCATAAACAGGTCGTCAGCACTCAGAGTTCAGACGGTGAACGATGATTCCTCCCACCCACCAGCAATTGTCACCGTGACGTTAACCTGCAATCAATGCTAGTATGAAGTCACAAAGCAGTGCCTTATAAGCGTTGCCTTTTTTCAAATATTGAGTAAACTTGCTGTGTACTGAATTGTACCGCTTCTCCCCAGGGTTGGATGGCTATAATTTGCTGGAGAGATCCCCACTCCTTCTGGGCTCGTCCCTACAGCAGCGGCACACTGTGCACCACTGCCCTCCCTCTGGGCGGTCTCAGCCATCCACTCATTCTCTCTCATCTCAGCATCTGCCCCCACCGTCCTCCCTTGCCGACCGACCTTCTCCCAACAAATCCGCAGTGGACGGGTGCGAGTCACCAGCTGATCCGGCCGTCTTTCCGCGGGAAGTAAGTGGGCACCAAACGCTTTCTTTGTCATCCACTTCGTAAACCCTTCTTTACTGAATCCACTGTAGATCGACTAGTGAATGTACACTGGCTTGTTAAACTCGTTGTCCCTTTCAAGGATTTACTGAGATGAAATAGTTTAGATGAAATAACAGATTACTAGATTCGAAACCTTCTCGATCGACTTATCAGCACTTCTGGGAAAGGACATGTACTCTCCCATGTGTATTTGTCTTCACCGCCACACCACTGCCACTACCCCCAATTTGGCCATATTTTACGTGGTAATCAAGGCAGGTGAGAGGGGGTGATCTGTGTTGGGTGTGCGCGTCTGTATGAGAGGGCGTTAGCGCGTCTTATCTCCGTCCCGGCATCTCGCACTCTGTTCACCAAGAGGTAGTAGAGGTAAAAAGTTGCACCATATGGTTGGCGCCATGGCTGCGAATACAGGAATCCCAGGTGGAAGGCTAGCTCCCTACTAATACTGCTGCCAATGCGCTTGTAAAGGCGCCTGCGGGGTCTGATTGGTCTAATTAAAACGCATAGTTCAGTCCTTACCCAACTACTTCAACCCTTGTCTCCCTCCTTGCCCCCATACATTTATCCCACCCTCATCCTCTTGCCTCTCTCCTCCCCTGCTATGCATTAGTGCATCAGCGGGCGACGCCCTTGTTGCAGTTGCTCCCGGGGAAAGGTGTGCTTGTGTGTAATTGCTCCAGGCTTGCGATTGCATTTACCTGATAAGAGGGAATTTGGGTGGTGGATGCCTTAGAAACATCACCTTTCTGTCGTCATGGTTCTCCTGAAGGGGTTTCCATAGCAATTATTTGAATCTACATTGACTAGGTTTCTGCTTTCGTACACATTACTATTATCAATGCTAGATGATGGAGCCTCCTACATCAATGCGTTAAATACCCACAAAGATACTTATCCGAATTTCATTTTCATACGGTTACCCCCGTCACCAAGTAACTTAAAGCTATTGGGGAACATTCCTCTGTTACCGTTGTTTGGTCAGTCTTACTAGCTCATCAGGTTCCTCGTATACTTTACGCTTTGTTGATTCATGTATCCACATAGGTAACACTTACTGACGAAACGTGATGCCGACTGCCACAAGTCGATAAAGTGGAAAGAACGTGGGAATCTAGCACAAATGTCGGAGGAGAAGCGGTGTATTTGAGCAGAATGGAATGCCTCTAAGTGGCGCCTATCCATATTGTCTTGACAATGGACCATTCAACATATATTTGAACACCACCTACGCTAAGTACGCCCGTCACAAGATAGTCACTCCTCCACTCAAGTAATTTATGTCTGCCCGTGTGTAGGCACAATTTCGCCGTTTATCATGTCGACAATCTACCTACCACTGTGACGAGACTGCACAAAGGGTGACCCCCGGGTGAAGCTCAGCTATGCGAATGCGTGGTTGTGTGCGTATATGCGCATGTAGGTGCGATTGACGACTCATGCAAACGCGAACTACTAATTGATGCTATTGCTTAATTACTAGACGATGGAACACTCAGATAAATCTTTTCACCAGGAATCTCGACAATTCCAGGCCACTTCAAGGTTGTCCTAATGTCATGCAAAATGTCCATCACAAATTACATGCGTCTAGGGGATACGCCAACTACATTGTTCCGTTCCAAAGCGGCATTTACCTACGGTGAATCTATGTACGGAGGATGACGTTGCTGTCACTATAAACAAGGTCTCTTTTGCGGTGAAAACATGGAATCAAATATTTGCTGTAGTGCGTGCTTGGCAGCACGAAGTTTATTTGCGGCAGCCATATGCGATTTTCAGTCAGCAGGATCAAATAAGGTCCTAGAGAATACTGATGACGATCTGCCTATTTTCTCTAGACATAAGTGGCAAAAGAGCGGTTACTTAGGTTGTAAAATCACTTTCCCCCAAGTTGACTTAGATACTATTTACATTTACAGAATGAAATCATTTTAGATCATTTAACGCAAAGGTCTGAGTGATTCTATGTAACCAGTGAGAGGATGAAAGTTTTTTGGGTGTCCGACTGAAGCACATGGGCATATGGTAAACATCAACAGCTAGAGTATGGGTGTGTACGCCTCTGGCAAGGAGATAATTACTCTTGCGTTGATCGGTCGCCTCATATTAATGCATATCCACCTTGCGTACAGTAATCATAATAATCTGAGCCTAATGCTCGACAGGAAGTGCCGTGGTGGTATCCCCGCCTTCCCCTCTACTCTCGTTCTTGCCTTCTCTCCTCATTCCTCCCCCATCTACGCCTGTGTGTGGAGTCATGAGAAGGTAGCAGGAGTGAGGGCGTTGGAGGCGTCTGCAGCTAATTAGCTGGTATCGCGCCATCTCTCCCCCATCCTGGCTGCCTTGCTCCTCACAAGGTGGAGAAAAGGCAGCCGTCGCCAAGTGTAATTAGGTGTACGTGGCTGCACACGCTTGCACACTCGCACGCATGCACGTATCCAAGCAAGCAGGCATCCGAGCCTGACAACGCCTCGTGCATTATGCATTGCCCACCGCTCCTCACTACTTCTAGTCCTCTTCCTTCCCCTCTTCTCCCTTCTGCCACCATCAGCACTGCCACGGCCCCTTAATACCTACACCCCTGCCTTCTCATCACCAAATTAATCAACGTGTGTAGCAGATATTGTGTGAGTTTGGAGAAATGTATGCATTTAATGCAACGCAGCTTGGACCATCGGACTGCCCTGACGCCGGTTATCTGATTCAGTCGTAAGACTTTGGATTAAGATCAAATATTTATTTGTTGGGCCAACCACTATAGGTGTAAAAAATTCTAAAAGGTATTAAAGTGATAGGCTGAACCAGAGCCACATGCATACCTGCAGCTAAGATGTTGGGAAAGGCGCTGGGTTACGTAAACTGGTTTCAAATTTCTACTTTATCATCATTTTATGGGAGTGGTTGACTTGTACTATCTGGTATAATTTATCCCTTTATTACAGTTTGAGGACCACTCCGAATTTCCGACGGGTAGCAAACGGTCGTGGACCTCAACAAAACAGTTGGGAGATAACCAACACCCGAAAGAAGCAGAGGATGAACAGGGTTCGGGCCCCAGCGCATCGAAGAAGAGCTTCAGTATCACCAATCTCCTTTGAAGAAGTACTGTAGTAACCAAAGCGCCTTTATACTACGAAATGGCATCATTGTTAGCTCAACCTGCATCCTCACCATGCTACTTAATGAAGGGTGCTAACATTTATGCACCCAAACATTTAAATGTACAGTGTCTCCACCGAGGTAAAATAAAGCATCTATCGTCCCCTATTGTACTAACTGGTTTCTAGGCTTTTTTGGATTTTGAAAAAGACTCGTGGCGTGTTGCTGAATTCATAGAACAGCCTATCAGGCCAACAAGAGATCATTTTGGAAGGACAGTGGGCTTGATTGGAAAGCCTCAACCACATAGACGTAAGGTCTGCACTGTATTTCATGCGTATGATGGGTTGAGAGTTCCAAGCGACCTTTGAGTGACTTCATAATTAGGAGGCTAAACAACTTATAAAGTGCGAATCGGAAGCGGAACCTCGGGTGCATTCGTGAAATATGAGTGAATTGGTTTAATGGTTGGTCGATTTGGGATTCTTCATTCAGAAGCACGACTATGTTGGGGTTAAGGTGTGATGGATGCACTTGTCATCGATGTCTGCGTCTTTTACAATAGTCGCAGAGTTGTGATAAGTGGTAGCTTGATGAATCGGTCCGGATGTCACTTTGTTTGCTGCCGATGCCTCTTGATATCTCGACATCAACACAGTTTAAGCTGAGAAGTTGAGGTATGCCGAGCTTCCCAGGCTGATGAATTTCTCTTGACAAATCTTTTGACTTGTAGGAGGGTCTACTAATCACTCTGAACAGGACTGATTGAAGTGGAGATTTGTGGAACTCTTACAAAAGGCCAAAACGCTCAAAATGTATACATTCAACTTCACTCGTGGCAATGCTAGTTACCAATTTCTCTACAGTTCATTGCAGAACACTTGAATTTACCTTGAATGGCCCAGTGGAAATACCTCACCCTAGCGTGTAAGACAGTGGAAATAAATGCAATTTGTGTAGAATACTATCAGCTTAACAAAGAAAGCAAAAAAAGTTATACACGTTACTGAGAACAATACAAACGTTAAATTACATTTGAATCTAAAGAGCCCAATGATGTGAAACAATTTTTAGTGTTCCTGTAATTGTTCAGGTACTTCAGAAACCGAAATGCTGTTTTTTGCACACTACTATTGCCGCGCATCTGGCATACTGAATTGTTACCAACCAAGTGGAAGGAGGTGGTAGTCCACCAGCAATTGTAACCATTTCCAGGGTTTCAGGACAATTCTTGTTAACTGGGAACTCGGAGTAAAATAACCTGGACGCACGAAAACTGTGCAGTTATTCCTAATGCAAGTCAGTAAAAGGGTTTGAAATTTGTGAAAGGTTGTCGGATATTTTCTGAAAAGAAACAAAAAAAATACAGCAATGAGATCCCGGCATGAGATAAAAGTGACCATTAAAGGGAAACATTGGCTACTGTTTTAAAGGCGGTAAAATCTGTTGGCTGCTGAATATTCACAAACCGTGGGCTTCTTGTGCTCGCCTACCAAAGTCTCCCCTAAACTATGCACAGTTCGCGGTGTTTCTAAAGGAGGACTCGTCGACCCGTGAAATTCGCGGCCGTTACGTGTGATTATTGTCGCGCGAAATTTGCTACAGATGCAAATGCGGTCCCATGCACTTGGACATTTTTGCAAGGTGCATCTTTAAATGTGGGACAAAGTGGCAAATGAGTGAAATACAATTATGAATGCGTTCTAAAATGTCTTGTTTTTTAACATGCGCCATAGGGTAAATTACAAACGTGCTTGATTTTTACAACCACGATTAAAAAATTATGCGTTCCTAGTGATTTGCTTAAATTTTGCTAAAAGTGGGTCACTGAAATGCTTAATCTGAGCCTATCAAGTTATGAAAAGATAGACTGTATTCTATATTGCTAGCAATTTTAAGACAAGCCTCGAGAGCAATTTCGTGAAGCGAATTTGAAGCCCATATTAAGAGACTAAGTGACAAATGAATAAGGATTCATGCTATCACATTGACCTTTCCATTGCTTAATATGGTGGTCATGATCTCGCTTTAAGGGTTAAATCACGTCCTAGTCAGTGGATTGTGGAAAAACTGCTATTTCGAGAGATTCATTCGAACATCTCTACAATTGCTTGAATGTACTTGCTTTGATCACAATCCTAACCCTTATTATTTTAATTGACTGGTTTGTCAAAGTGAATTCTTAAAGGACTTTCTGGCCCTTCTTTATGAACTCACTATATTACTCATAACCAAAAACTACAACATCTTTAACTCAGACACATTTTGATTGCAAAATTACAATGAAAAACATTTTCATTGTACAATTAAACCAATAAGCAAGCTCATTTTTTACAAAGAGGTAAAAATGATGAAAAACAAATTAACATTGCACTTTTAAAATTTACGTGTATAGGGAAGAAGTAAAAATTTACTATGCATGGAAGCTGTACACTTATCTTCTGCTCCAACGATATTGCTTCAGATAACAACCATCGACACACTTCACTTCTTCGTAAAAGGGTCACTAGTAATTCAAATTCAGAGGAAATTTCTCTTGGAGACTGACAAGTGGATGGACAGTGCAATATATTTTCTTGTGCAGCAATGACTGTTTGTAGAATGGTTGGATAAGTTCATTTTCACTTTCTGCAGTCCTATACTAGCACTGTTCTTCATTTTGGGATTTACAAGGCCGAGTTTTTGTAGATCTGTGCAAAAGTACGGGTGCATATAAATATAGTAATATTTATAAAATTTGGATTTGCTAAGCAAATAGGTCAACTGGTGTATTCCTACTCATTAGGGCGCTAGATAACTAAATAATACCTTCCAAGAGTTATGCTTAACTGTGGTACTGACCAGATGGCTTTCTCTACAACACAAAACTAGGAAGCTTAAGCACCATCTATTAGCTAGAAGAGCTGACCAACTGATGTCGCAGGGTTCCTGGGCCAACAGATGGGAGACATTCGCGCGAGTCACTAGGTTTCACTCGTACTCTCTAAATAAAAATGAGCTGGCAGAAGACGTCTCGTATCTCTTACCACTTCTTGAGTATTTATCATTTTAGGATGGATACTTGGTTTGCAAAAATTGCAATAAGTCAGACACTACCTGCCAAAACTTTTAGATGCAAAAACTCATTTGGCGATACTAAGGAAGCATGTAAATTCACGTTATTTCGCACTGTTTACAAACCACATTAACCTAGAAAGAGATTTAAATAAGGTTGTATGTACAAGTGGCGGTGTGAATGAAGACTTATCCAGGTACAGGGTTGACAGCTGACGCGACAATCAGGCAGAAATGTCAGCTTCATTCCTAAAGTATTGATGCCTCAGTGCACACTTGCTACATGAGGTGAGAGGTAAGCGCCAAGCAGGTGGTAGCCTTTCCAAAACCTGCAAAAGATCCACTGAAGAATTCTTAGCTTTACCTGTGTCGAAGGCTTTTCGACCGATGCCCACGTCGCATCAGCAATCAAGCACAATCACAGAATAAACTATCCATCCCTAGTTCTTGTTGTTTTTAAAGTTTCCTCACTATCACATAAATGTTGAAGTAAAAGACGTTGTAGTTCCAACTTTTGTTAGTGTAAACACGGTAATTTTGAACAGAAGAAATGAAACATATTCATTAATTACCCATTCACTGTCACATTTTAGCACTTTTGTGCAGAGAACTGTGATTATTAATTAGTGATCGGCGAAAGCAGACCGAATGCCTCTCATTTGTGAGCTATGAAAGGTGTGCGTCGCGTCTTCGATAGGTCCAATTCTTGTAATGACCTTCAGGTTGACTGAATTTCCGCAACTCCATAGCAGTGTCCTTCCAATAAACATACGCGTGGTACATAGTAAAATTAATCATTGCTGTTATCGTCTTTAATACTACTCGGAATGACCCCTATTATTGACTGACATGTGTATGTGTAGTTGTCATGCTTTGTGATTGTGTTGGACGGAAAGCAGATGCAAGACAGCTGCAGAAGTAGCTGGTGGTAGTCACACCCGAAGGGAACCACGGTCTGGTAACAGCAGTAATAGTAAACTGCACCTGACGTATGTTCAGCAATGCAGAATTGTTACTGGGGCCTGGGTGCAGAGCTGGAGGCAGGGGAGGGATGGGCGGTGGAAAGGGACGAGGCTAGGTAAAGCGCTGTGTTCACTAGACTACTACGGAGCTGGAACCTTCCGTAAACTACAAAAACGTTAAATTAAGCTTAAAACCAGCTGGGTATTATAGGATAAATTGTGGACAGGTAAAATAATTTTAAAGTAGAATGGTTTTATGTATTTAGCAATTACCATTGCATTAATTTGCGATCTCAATAATCTGGCGCTTTGCGTTCTAAATGGTAAAACGGAACACTTGTTTTAAATTGATGAACCTCAAATACAACTGTTGTGCAGCCTACCTTATGCTACGATCTAATGGATATAAATAACCCTGATGAATTGGGCGCGTAGTCAGGACCATGAGGTAGATTCGCGAATTATCTCACCATTATAATGAAACGAATATGACTACCTGCACCATGATAGACGTGCGAAAACGCCTCCGGAGGGGGAGAGAGCGTGGGGGAGAGAGGGAGCGGGACAGTAAGTGGCAACACTCTGCCCCGCCCATGCTCACAATGCATAATGCAGTTTCCATTTACTTCAAGGAGAGGCACACTTTACAAAATCACGCTATCTACCGAAAAAGCTGTTATCCTTTTCGCATTACGGCAGTGATACTGATGCTTCCTCGGGGTGGAACGGAGTGAAAAGCTGCAAAGTGGTCATCAACAGGTACTCAACACTGACTCTTCCCTTTCTTTGGCCTGCAATGCAGAGGAGGAATGCAAAATCGCAGAATGGGAAATGGAGAGAGGTGGTGGTGGATTGTTCTGCCTTGCGAGTGATGCTAAAAGGTTCCCAATGGACTGTTCCACTCCATACCACGTTACTGCGCGGGTATAATGGGAGGAGGGCGCGATTTACAACGTGTCGAGACTGCAATAAGTGAGTGTATGCAGTTAATAATGGAAGGCCTATAGAGCCCTAAGCTTCTACATGCAACTGTGGTGGTCCTCTAAGGTCACTAATCTGAACTTCATTAAAGTGCAGAGACATTGTAGATTTACAAAATCCTGCCTCGCAGTAAGAGTCAAACACAAGTTAGTTCAACACCATTGGCATTTGGATTGGCATCACTTCTGATATTATTTTACATTACCTGTGACCACATTCAAATTCAGACCTTAGTATTCTTCGAGAGCATTACAAGGATCGGGCTGCCAAATTTTAAGGTTAGAATGAATTATCGCAAGATCAACGAGCGTAAGCTTAACCCTAAGTTTACGTGGTTCATTGACACCCATGCTTTAATTTGACTCAATCGGTCGTCTAACGTCCATTGAAATCATTTACATTCCAAAGAGTGTTTGTACTTGACTGCTACCATTATTGTCTATCATTAAACAATCACTTGGATACTTGACTAATTAATTCAAACCTTAATCCAAACCACTGTTTCTGATGTGATCCGAAGAGGGCAAGATGCGTAGGTAGACACTTATGTCAAAATACGATGTGCTAGCTATCTACGTAGCCTAAAACGGCACTTTGGCGCCTGTGGCAAAAATCGGACCACATAATTAATCTATTCAGCTATGCTGACTGATGATTTACAATTGCACTCATAGAAGCTCAGAACTACTACTTTTAAAATTTAAGAAGCAAAAATTGGAATCTCATAGACCGGATGTAGCGCCCCGAGACTTCCCTGAAGACGAGGGAGGGCACAAATGTGGGCCAGAATATGTATTGTCGACGTGCGGAAGGGCTGGGGATATACTGGCATCGCCCGGAGGCCAAGCCAGTCAACAGGATCGCCAAATTAACAAACAGTTAAAACATTACAATGCTTTAACAATATCCCAGAATATTTTAGCAAAATTATAACTGTCGTAGTTCCTGGCTCAGCCGGAACCGATTTGTTTTGTATTTTATTAAATACTTTTGTTTTGCATCAACCAACTCAACAAAACAATCAGAATAAAGTTCAATAAAAACTAATGGAGAATAATTTTTAGAACATAGCTGTAGTCGGCTTATCAATTACAGCATGAATATGTCAACATCCACGAGGAAGAATTATGAGATGATCTGGACGATTTCACCGAAACTAGTAATAAAATATGTATAAAAGAAAAAATTTGATTGAACGGCAATCATAAACTGCTACTACAAATTAGTGTAACCAATCCTCTCACATAGAGCCCTTAAATGATAAGCTTTTGAAGCAAACTATTTTCACATGCCTATTTATGCAGACTAGTTTACTACTGTAAGGTGAGAGCTAATCCCAATTAAACTGGGAACGGGGCTATTTTTTTCGCTGCAAGAGAAATGGATTGAGTTAGTGCTGTCACCTGACCCAGTGGCGTACCAGAGTGCCCCCGGCACCAGTCTACCTGCCTGTGCGTGCTCGGTGTGATCGGTCTCGTTGTAAACAACAGTGTGGTGAGTGCTGTTGGGTAGGTCATTCCGTTGTGCCATTGATAATGAATGCTGTTATTTTCTATGCAACCACTAGAGTTGCTGGGATTCCCCTTCCAAATTAATTTATTACACACATTTTATTCATTTTATTGGGGAAAGGTTGTAATCGCACCGAGTCTAAACTTTGCTATTAATAAATCGCATCAAATAAAATAACTGCTACATCGAGGCGTTGATTGGGCTGGCATTTGAGACTGCTGAATGATAGGGAGAATCACCGTTTCTTCAAGAACCGATCAAACCGAACTCTTGATAGCCATTGTGATTGAAACTTTGACAATTTGTTCCATTCTCTACCAACCCCTAATACTCGTAGTAAACTTTATAAAGGCTATTTTAACAGTCACTTATTTTGCAGTCAAGGTTTTGACACTGTTATTTTTGAGGATCGTGACCTGGCACATTACAAAAACGGTGTTAAGTAAGTTAATTAAAGCACTTTTTTATAAGTCACTCGAAGATGTGAGGGATAATTAAATAAGAAAGCCGTGCAGTGTTCAGTCCTCCCGTAAAATGGATTGGTGGCACTGACAAGTCAATTTTTATTAGATGAAATTGTTCGCCATACCCGATGACAATCCTGGCACCGGTAAATGGGAACACGGAGGCAAAGCATTCGAATTTGAATTATACGGCATGAGGTAAATCAAATTATTACTGGTTGATAGGAGAGATCATTCATTATACTTGGCGCTGTCATCAGCTATAACTTACGACTGCATGATGAGGAGGATGATACATGGGTATTTGTGCTCTATAATAGTTATAGGGTATTTTAGACGCCAAAGTCTAGCGATTTGTAACATTTTGGAAGGCTACAAGCAAACTCATCAGACACCTGGATGGAACACAAACTAATATAGATTAAATTAAAGGTAATGCATGGGCCAGAAGAAATGATGAGATGATCGTTTGGGTACAAAACTCACTTAAGCTCTAAATGTATCTGTGGGAATAGTAGCCATATAACCAGTTTTTACTCAAACAATAACCAAAGTTTTCATGAAATACGCAATTGATCTAACTTAGAGTAAATACCGTCTGAGTATTAATGGCCCTCCATTGTTCTGAAAATTTAGTTGCCGAAATGATGCTTAATTCGGTTTCTTATTAAAGGAAATGAAACAATATTTATATGGTAATTCCACTTTTTAAATAAGAAGTAAATATATTAAAATGGTGCATTAATAGTGTATTAGATTACTTTTATAAGTCCGTCTTATTAAAGTAAAAGCAAAACGGAAATTTCCTCTTTGACAATATTATTTGGCTAGCTATTTGTCTAATGCCCCTTTCATAAAACGCTTTGGCCCTATAAATGAAAAATCCAGCGCTCGTTACACCCGCCCCTATCTCACTTCTATTTTCAGGCCTCTCTGTGACTCTGCGATTGGGTAAGGAAAGAAATGGGTGATGATCATCACCTGGCGATGAGGTGGGGCAGTCTCTGGTTCTCAATCTGAGGTCTTCTCAAAGACAAGTTTTGTAACAGGGTATGCCTTGCAGTGGATTACGGCGT